GGGCTCCAAAATCACTGCAGATGGTGACTGCAGCCATGAAATTAAAAGACGCTTACTCCTTGGAAGGAAAGTTATGACCAACCTGGGTAGCATATTTAAAGGCAGAGACATAACTTTGCCAACAAAGGTCCTTCTAGTCAAGGTTATGGTTTTTCCAGTGGTCATGTATGGATGTTAGAGTTGGACGGTGAAGAAAGCTGAGTGCAGAAGAATTGAGGCTTTTCAACTGTGATGTTGGAGAAGACTCTTGAGAGTCCCTTGGATTGCAAGGAGATCCAACCAGTCCATCATAAAGGAGATTGGTCCTGGGTGTTCATTGGAAGGACTGATGTTAAAGCTGAAACTCCAGTACTTTGGCCACCTCATGCTAAGAGTTGACTCATTGGAAAAGACCCTGATGCTGGGAGGGATTGGGGGCAGGAGGAGAAGGGGACGACAGAGGATGAGATGGCTGGATGGCATCACTGACTCGATGGACATGGGTCTGGGTGGACTCCGGGAGTTGGTGATGGACGGGGAGGCCTGGCGTGCTGCAATTCATGGGGTTGCAAAGAGTTGGACACAACTGAGCGGCTGAACTGAACTGAACTGATAGTCGTGTTAGTCTCTACTGGACAGCAAAGCGGATCAGCTTTGTTGCTGTTCGGTCACTCAGCCGTGCCTGGCTCTCTGTGACCCCACAGACTGCAACACGCCAGGCTCCTCTGTCCCTCATCATCTCCCGGAGTTTGCTCAAACTCATGTCCATTAAGTCAATGATGCACATATACATATATCCCCTCTTTTTAGGATTTCCTTCCCACTTAGGTCACCGTAGAGCGTTGAGTGGAGCTCCCTGTGCTAAACAGTAGGTTCTCATTAGTTATCTATTTTATATGTAGTATCGATAGTGTATATATGTCAATCCAATCTCTCAATTCATCCCACCCTATCTTCTCCCCTTGGGTTCTACATGTTTGTTCTCTATGTCTGTGTCTCTATTTCTCCTTTGCAAATAAAATCATTTGTACCATTTTTCTAGATTCCACGACTATTCATTAATATATGATATTTGTTTTTCTCTTTCTGACTTACTTCAATTTATATGACAGTCTCGAGGTCCACCTCTGCAGATGACTCAGGATTGTTCTTTTTTGTGACTACATAATATTCCACTGTATTTATGCACCACATTTTCATTATCCATTTCTCTGTTGAGGTTCTCATTTAGGTTGCTTCTAAGTCCTAGTTGTTGTAAAATAGTGCTTTAATGAACATTGAGGTGCGGGTGTCTTTTTTTTTTTTGCAGATGTCTTTTTGAATTATAGTTTTCTCTGGGTATATGCCCAGGAGTAGCACTGCTGAGTCATATGGTAGTTCTATTTATAGTTTTTAAGGAACCACCATACTGTTTTAAATAGCATCCAGCAGACACTCAATTGTTTACTAACGGCTCATGCTTGTTTATCTTCAGATAGTTCTCCAAAGATCTGAGCACATTTCAAGCAGCTGCAACAATCTGCAAACAGCAAGTGATTTAAGTGGCCTGACAGAGAATACAATTACCCTTTTCTTTTTTTAATTAATAAAGAGATTTTACTAATACCCTTGTCCAGACCATTTCGTTGTGGTTAATGTTCCCAGAGAGAATCAATTGAAAATTTGCTGATAACACAAATGGAGTGGTGGGGGTCTCAGTAGCATCTAATAACTCACCAAGTAATTTGTTCAAGATTAACACCATTTCCTAAAGAGTTCATACTGCTTTCATCCATCCTAGATGCATTGTAGGCAAGAATTGTATTCAATCATTTATTTTGCCTCTTAAAAATCTATTATAATTATTTCAGAAAGTTAACTGAGTACAATCTTAATCTTAAAAGTTGATCAGAATCACACTGCAAGGTACCAAAAATATTAAGTTGTATTTATGCCGATTGCTGTTACTGCTAGTGAAATAATACTTATCTATACTTCAAACAAGAAGAATACATAAAGCAAAATGAGAAGAGCTGTAATTTGATTTTATTGGGTCAGACTAGTGGCAATGCAAGTAGGGAGCTGTAAAGGTATTAATTATTCTTTCCTTCATCCAAAGGCTGTACTTGCTGGCAGTTGAATATTGAAACACGTAAAAAAGTAAGAATGTAGGTTCTAATGCAAGGGAGCAAGTGTGAGACATTGTGATATTTAATCTAAGTTTTTACTCTATCAACTTAGTAAGTTACTGTTAACTCCTGTGCTGACTTTCCGGCTTAGAACTTATAAATGTGTCAATTATTGAAGTGCTAGGACTTCCCTGGTGGTCCAGTGGCTAACACTCTGCACTCCCAAAGCATGGGGCCTGGGGTTTGATCCCTGGTCAGGGAACTAGATCCCACTTGCCCGCAACTAAGTGTTCACATGCTGCCACTTCAAAAAAGATCCTGCATGCCAAAATGTCCAGCACAGCCAAATAAATAAACATAAATATTAAAAATAATAATTTTTAAAACTCATTAAAAATTATACTGAGGTATTAGAAAACCGTTTTTTTTTAAAAACCAAACAAAAATTTTTTTTTCTCCAAGCACATATTTAATAGAGAAAATGACTAAAAATACTTTACTAAGCCATCACTCTGGCAATGGAAATCAGTTCCCTCCATTTGAACCAAACAACTTCTCAAAACCAAAGTAAGTTTAAAGAATCTGGCCTTGTTTTTTTGTTTGTTTTTGCATGGGAGATGGTGGAGACAATAAAATCTGAAGCCTGTAATAATTAGGTTTTGCATGTAGACTGGTAATTCTGCCTGAGCTGGAGGATAGGATGGCTGTGTATCCTTGGGAAAGTTGCTTAACCTCTCTGTTTCTTAGTTTGCTCAATAGGTCAACCTGCAATCTTGTCCTAGATCTCTCCATTATTTTGTATATTAGCATCCTATGCATTTCCTTCATGGCATTTTTTGACATTGGTAATCATTTTTTTTATAGACTATTTGTTTAGCCTGTTGCCCTCCATTTGGATAGCAGCGAAGAATTGATGCTTTTGACGTGTGGTGTTGGAGAAGACTTTTGAGAGTCTCTTGGACAGCAAGGAGATTCAACCAGTCAATCCTAAAGGAAATCAGTCCTGAATATTCACTGGAAGGACTGATGCTGAAGTTGAAACTCCAATACTTTGGCCACCTGATGTGAAGAAGTGACTCATTGGAAAAGACCCTGATGCTGGGAAAGATTGAAGGTGGGAGGAGAAGGGGAAGACAGAGGATGAGATGTTTGGATGGCATCACCAATTCAATGGACATGGGTTTGAGAAAACTCCAGTAGTTGGCGATGGACAGGGAGGCCTGGCGTGCTGCAGTCCATGGGGTCACAAAGAGTCGGACACCACTGAGTGATTGAACTGAACTGACTGAAACTTTCCAAACTTTACAATTCAGTTGATAAGTAACACTGGAGTTCCGATCATCCCCTGATTCTTGAAAATTACTCTGCCAGTCTCCCCAGTGGGGAACTACACTCAATATCTCTTTCACTCTTCTAAAATAAAACAGGGCACTGAAACGAAGATAAGGTTTCTGGGCAAGAAAAGACAGGAGAAAAGAACATGTTAGCTTGAAAGGCTGACAGCTTCTGGTGACAGTGACAAGGTAATAAGACAAGCAGTCCTTCTTAGCAGGAAAATAGATGTAGCCTGTCCTCTGAAACAAGTTATTTCCAGCCTCTCATCCATCTATCCCAAAGTACAAATGACAGACAGCTTAACTCTCACCCTTCGTTCTTCCTGTANTTTCTAGCCAAATAACAAAATTAGATAACTAGGTAACATTTTCAGCTTCAAAAGACCCGGCACAATTTCCTCCAGCATTTGACTATGAAAAATTTCAAAAGTATACAAAAGTTAAGAGGCGTTTTGCAGTGAATTCCCAAATACCAACCCCCACCCCAGGGTGCCTCAGTTTCCTCAATAACAACTGAATTTTTATAGTATCTGAAAATTGAGGTGGTGGGGGGCGCATCCCTGATGGCTGAGACAGTAAAGAATCCATCTGCAGTTCAGGAGACCTGGGTTCGATCCCTGGGTCAGGAAGATCTCCTAAAGAAGAGAATGGCTACCCACTCCACTACTCTTGCCTGAAGAATTCCATGGACAGAGGAGCCTGGTGGGCTACATACAGTCCATGGAGTTGCAAAGAGACGACACTAACACATACCCCAGTTGGGCATCACATTATCTATGTATCTACCCATTCATTCTTGTGTTTCTTTTATGGATTTCAAAGTAAATTTAATATACCAGTAGTCTTCTTAAATACTTCATGTCATCACTTAGAGTTCAGTATTTATTTACAGATTTTTTTTTTTTTTCTTTGACCTGGACTGCCAGGGAAGTCCCCAGGTTTTTTTTCTCTTTTTTCTCCTTTTGAGGAAAAATTTACACACTATGAAATTTATAAACTTTATGTGTACATTCCTTAAATTTTGGAAAATACATACGTGTGTGACCTAAACCCCTAGCATGACATAGACTATTACTATTGCTCCAGATTCCCTCATACCTCTTTCCAGTCAATTCCTCTCCCTAAACAACCATGATTCTGATTTTTTCTAGCATAGGTTAGTTTTGTTTGTTCTAGAACATTACATATATGTAATCATATAGTATATGCTCTTTTGTACTATGTAAAGCTTCTTTCATTTAGCATGATACTTTTTTTAAGTTGTAAGATAATTGCTTTACAATGTTGTGTTGGTTTCTGCTGTAGAACAAGGTGAGTCAGTCATAAGTATACATATATCCCCTCTCTCTTGAGTCATCCTTCCACCCCCCCACCCCCCCATATGCTAGCCATTTCTGAGATTTATTGGGTTCTGCTGAGTTCTTATAATTACGTTCTAATTATATTTCCTTACACATCCAGATCCTTCCTACATAAATGCATTGTAAGAGAAACACCTAATATTGTTTCGGGCAATGTCCTGTTTTGTAAAGTCTCTGTCGGCAGTTGTGTTGTCAGCCTAAAAAAATAAAAAGAGGAAAAGAGAAAAGTTTCTTCTCTAATCACCGGAATCACTGTAGAACACACAGACTGTATCTGAGACAGTTTCCTGTGAGACACCCTCCCTTTATTGTCTGAAAGTCAAAGCATCGTGTGCAACCTGTTGCTGGGCCAGGCTGTGGCCGCAAGGAGGAAGAGTGATGGAGGTATCAGTGAAACCCAGCTGCCTGGCCTCTGATCTGAGGTCCCCAGAGGCAATCTAAAGGTGCATAAACTAGAGCTACTCATATGTAGCAGGAGACAGTGTGTCCATCATTTGCCTCAACCCCACAGGTTGCAATTTCCTCAAAGACTTAGATTAATACTGTGTATCATTTCCTAAAATAGCTCCATCTTTTCCCTAAGTGCCCTCTCTCATGGGTCCAGGATGTCCACCCCTTGCCAGGGATCTGTGGAAGAGATGCAGGTAAAGGAACCAGAATGAGAACAGAGAATGGGACTCACGCCTGAAAAAAATGACGCACATGTTTGTACCCCTGGATTGTATAACCTCCAGGTGGCATCAGTATGAGTCTAACTGACCTGCTTGGTGATTCCTGGGGGACAGGTATGGGGAAGTTCTGAAGTCTATCCTTTAAGACTATGTTTGTCTCACAGATGCTGCTCCTTAGGAATCTTTTGCTCTGGTTGCCCTCATCACAGCTGATAAGAACATCTGCAGTAGGTGCTTTTTTAAAAGTTTCGTTTATTTACTTATGGCTGCTCTGGGTTGCTGCGTGGGGCTTTCTTTAGTTGGGATGAGCGGGAACTACTGTGTAGCTGCTTAGGCTTCTCGCTGCAGTGGCTTCTCCTGCCGCTGAGCACAGGCTCTAGGGCGAGCCAGCTTCCGTGGTTGCAGCGCCGGGGCTGACCGGGGGCTCCCCAGTCTGGTGCACAGGCTTGGGTCCTTTACCTGCATTCAGCACATGGGATCTCCCCGGACCAGGGATCAAACCTGTGTCTTCTGCATTGGCAGGCGGATTCTTAACCATTGGACCACTGGAGAAGTCCAACAGACGCTTTTTAATCATTCTGCTTTTCCAGGTGTTTGCTGGAAAGAAATCCTACCGAGTCTTTTGAAATACACAAATCCGGTTTTTTTGTGACAGGCAGATGGAGCTGAATTCTGGAGGAATTCAACCCAGCCATTAAGGGGTCTTGTTCTTCATTATCAGTGGATCCCTGCGTGGGAATATGCACCCTCGCTGACGGTCCAGGTGGGCTGGCGGTCTCGGGTTTCCCGGCTGCAGGGGAGGGGCGTGTTGGGTGGAGTTCCCTCGGAGCATCTGCATCTATTCCTGCTCTTGTTGCTGATGCCTTTGAGCGGAGCAACAGGATGCTCGGGAGTGATTATAAACATTCGAAGGGCAGAAAATCTTCGGCTGTCTTATCCATCACTCCTCATAAACATTACTGTCTCCTTGAGATAACAAAATCATTCCAGGGTACCTTGGGAGCATCTGGCTTGTGTCTCCTTTCAAGGCTGTGCGCCTAACTGTGCCATTTTGAATAGTAGATTCTTTTATCAGATTTTAGGGTGAGCGACCTTCGGCTCCCTCGGATGCCTGCTTTCAGAGAAAGGCTGGTGAGACTCAATGTGGTCCTTTCTGCTCGAGGGCTGCAGTCAACGAGATAAGGGGCTGTGGGGCATTTCTTCTTTCTTCCTTTTGTCCTAGTCTTTTAAAAAGTTCTTTTGTGAGAGTTTTTTCCGATAGTAGGAAAATGGACACCCGTGTGGACAGGTTGTCTCATTCATAAATTCATCCACGTGTCACACGCTGTTTGGAGCCTTCCCACTGCCTGGCACTGTTCTGATCTCTGAGGGTTTCTAGATGGGGGTGAGCTGGTGGAGGGGGGCTGTCCATTGAGTGGGCGTGGTGGACTGAACTGCCCCCGGTTAGGGAGCAGCATGGGCAATAGAGTGAGTAGTGGGACTGGCACTGTTCCCCATTGGCTGGCATTTATTTTCTCGGACCATCCAACTAAAAAAAAAAGAAGAATCAGCCTTTCAAAATTATTCAACTTTCAAATTCCAGACTTACTTCTCAACTGGAATTCACGATGGTAAAAAGACATTTTCCCCCCAAGTACAGGCTGTCCGTTCTCATTACTAGCATATTCCACATTTGCAAATTCTCCTGCATGCTAAGCCGCTTCAGTTGTGTCCAGCTCTTTGCGACTCTATGGACTGTAACCTGCCAGGCTCCTCTGTCCATAGGATTCTCCAGGCAAGAATACTGGAGTGAGTTGCCATGCCCTTCTCCAGGGGATCTTCCTGACCCAGGGTTCAAACCCGTATCTCTTCTGTCTCCCGCATTAACAGGCAGGTTCTTTTCCACTAGTCCCACCTGGGAAGCCATGATTGGAGGATAAACCTGAGAAAATCCAGGCCTGAACCCTGGTCCCTCCTTGGGTTTCCGAGGGCCCACATGTGATGATGTACCATGCATGTGCTCCTTGGATCCAAGAAAGTAGCATTCCAGCACTTTTATGCAAAGGCTTGAAATCAGAAGCTTGTAGAAAGAAAAAAAAAACACTCTTTTAGTCTTTCCTGGTGGTTCAGTCTGTAAAGAATCCACCTGCAGTGCAGGAGACACAGGAAGATGCAAATTCAATCCCTGGGTCAGAAAGATCCCCTGGAGGAGGACATGGCAACCCACTCCAGGATTCTTGCCTGGGAAATCCCATGTACAGAGGAGCCCAGTGGACTGCAGTCCAAGGGGTCGCGAGAGTCACACGACTTAGTGACTAAACCACCAGCCAGAATATTGTTTCAAGTTTCAGTTTTCTGTCTTCTGAAGTCATGCTTTTCAAACCTCCAGGTTTAGAGACATCACCACCTGGGGCTCTTGTTAACAGGAAGACCCGGATCCCAGGGAAGCCGGGTGGGGCCGAGGTCCTGTGTTTCTAACCAGCTTCTGAGTGAGGCTGATGCTGATATCAGTAAACTCCCTGTGTGTAAGCCTGTTTGGACTGCTGTTTTCCTCACTTGCACCCAAAAGAGATCAACTGCCATCCGGAGACCTCAGGCTTCTTCTTTCCCACCCTCCATGCTGTTTTTTATCCCATGCCTTCCCTCAGACCTCCCCTCTTTGGGGAGCTTGGATATTGCCTCCTCCGGGGAGCCTTCCCTGATTCCTGCTTCCTGCCCTCAGAGATTTTCAGAAGCAAATCCCAGGGCAACCATTCACAACCTTGACTGTAAAATAGAATCACCTGGAAGCTTGGAAACCATCTGCTCTCCAGGCCACACCCCAGACCAAACAATCCAGAATGTCTACAGTTGCAAGCATGTCAGTGTCTTAAGAACTAGGCCCCAAGGTATGTGTTACCTCTAACATTTATAAAGTTTTAACAGCATCTGATTGGGCCACCAAACGGTGGGGAAAGTCCCAGGTGAAAGCTCACCTTGGTGAAGATGATTCAGCCTTAGAAAGGAATGAAGCTCTCATACATGCTTCAACATGGATGAGCTGTGAAGACAAGTCTTCAAGACTTGGTCTCCTGCAGGAAAGTCCCTGGCAGCCAGTGATTAGGATTCGGGGCTTTCACTGTGGTGGCCTGGGGTTCAATCCCTGGTCAGGCAATTGAGATCCTGCAAGTCACGGGGTGTGGCCAAAAAAAAAATGGTGCTAGAAATAGGTTTGTTTCTTGTGTTACTAGCATTCAGAGTTTCATGGGAAGAGGTGCAGAATCAGAAGAGACCCTCAGCTCACAGCACATGCAGACTGCAAAGGCAAATGTTAGTCACATATTTCAGGAATGGTGCACTGGGTGGGAGCCTCCATGGATCCTTATTCATGAACGTGCTTTTCATAATAGACGCTAACTAAGATCAGTGAAAATATTGACCAGAACTCTTGTGAAATAATTCTGTCACATGTCCTGATTTATCAGCATCCCAGGTGTACTTTTCCTGTGTTTGTCAACAAGAGAATTGAGTCAACAGTCACAAGCTTGGTTACCATTTAGAATATTGACATGGCTCCAACCTAACTTCTCCCATTTGAATTTAGCATCTTCAGTGGGCCAGAGATTCCCAACAGGTGATACGCATATGAGCTATTCACAAAGTTTTATAAGAATATAAATGTCGTCTCGGGCTTCCTAGTTGGCACTCGAGGTAAAGACCCCATTTGCCTACGCAGAAGACTGAAGAGACACAGATTCAAACCCTGGGTCAGGAAGATCCCCTGGAGGAGGGCGTGGCAACCCACTCCAGTATTCTCGCCCGGAGAATCCCAAGGACAGAGGAGTCTGGGGGGCTACAGTGCATAAGGTTGCAAAGAGTCAGACACAACTGAGTGACTGAGCAGGCAGGCACGCAGACATCTCCTCCAGACTTACTGAATCTCTCTGCTTGATGTTGCTTGTTTAAAAAAAGAAAAATTATGTCTAAGGATGACTATATGTTCTGTCTTGAGATGTTTTTTCCTTTATAAAATTTATGTCCATTCAGTTTTATAAATCAGAACTAATATTCAATGTCATCTTCGAAAACAGGCCTAGTCATTAGGCTCAGAGACATTTTGTCTTAAAAAAATTTTTTTTGGAATGGTTTTATGATCTTGCTTGGCATACTCCAGAGCCAATCAGATTTCCTCGGCAGTTGCATTTATTCTTATTATGAACTCTCATCAGACCTTTCAGATTTTAAAATTATCATTAATAAGTTAACCAGAGTCACCCAGTCTCAGTATCCACAGACAGTTTTTGTTTTACTCTGATGCTTGTGTGGATGTCTTCCTGTAAGCCATGGACCAGAGCTCGTGCCTTCAATAAGGAAGAATCTCCTGGAAAAAGGACTGTAGCAGGTTGTTTGAAATTATTGATGCTTCACAGAATGACCTCTTGCGAACAGTTTGGACCTGAGGCTACTAAAGCAGCTTTCAGATGATACTGAGTCAGGATTTCCAGACTCCCTTGTTGGAGAATCATGAAGGCTTCATGAGACCCCAGGTCCAGTGGAACAAGAATCAATCACACAGGAAAAACAACTTAGAGTTAAGTGTTATTACAATTACTTGCTTGGAATATGATTGGTATAGTTCTAATATTCTATTTTCTGGATATATAAGGAAGACTTTTCTTGCATGCAATCTCAATCACTCAGTTTTGTCCCACTCTGTGATCCCCATGTACTATAGCCCACCAGGCCCCTATGGCCATGGGATTCTCCAGGCAAGAATACCAGAGTGAGTAGCCATTTCCTCCTCCAGGGGATCTTTCCAACCCAGGGATCAAACCTGCATCTCCAGCATCTCCTGCATCGACAGGTAGATTCTTTACCACCAAGCCCCTTTCTCTTCTTAAACAATTCAGAGAATTTCAGCAAACTCTGCTTTCATATGCTGAAATGAAACTTGAAAATGACATGTGATTTTCACTGAATTCAGAAACTCTTACTTTTTATGAAAGATATTTCATTGCACAGGTTCAACAAGAATCTGTCTTTTACCAGGATATAATTAGGTACATTTTTGTACACCCAAGGCTGGGTTGGAGGGTCATGATAGAGATGATGATCACTGAATCAGATAAGACCAGCCACTTTAAGGAAGAAAAGTTGGTTTTACCTATAAATTCATCCCAGGAAAACAGCCCCTGTACCAGGCCTAGTGGGTAAGGAAGGGCATTCAGGACAGCCCTGAATGTAGAGAGGCATTTGCCCAAACGTATAGTCTGTGGATGAAATCCAATGGAGAGAGCTTCTTGGACTTGGTTTTCATATCTCGGGAAATAGAAGCTTTTGAAAGTCCAACCCAAGAGTCCTTACAGAGACTTCCGGCAAAGCAAACTCAAGAAGTCTTATATGGTGAGCTAACTCATTGGAAAAGATACTGATGCTGGGAAAGATTGAGGGCAGGGGAACTGGGTGACAGAGGATGAGATGGTTGGACGGCATCACTGACTCAATGGACATGAGTTTGAGCAAACTCAGGGAGATGGTGAAGGACAGGGAGGCCTGGCGTGCCACAGTCCATGGAGTCGCAAAGAGTCAGACACGACTGGGTGACTGAACAACAACGGGGTCTGAGAAGGGATGTCACAGTGTGAGCAGCCTCTGGCTCTCACGACCCTGGATGTGGCCTGTGAGCTCCCGCCAGCACCGAGGTTTGTTGGGCCTCCTTCCGGACGCCATTAGTAGACTCTGCCTGGAGCCCACCTGGCCTCCCATCCCCTGCTCATCCCACTTGCCAGGTTTGATCAGCAAGCCCACTCTGCCTTGGATCCTGTCAGCCCCCGGGGGCCAGGGACACAGTTGCAGCCCAGCCGCCACTACCTCCACCAGCAAACACACCAAATTAAAAAAGAACGTTCCAGCCCCTCAGCTGAAAGCCCCTGGAAGGGGGTTTGAGATATGCTCTCATGAGATGCAAATTTCTTCGCCCTGAGTAGCACTTGTGCCTTTGCATCTGCAGGGAGAACCACACATCCCCTCGCCAGTCCTCCTGCCCACAGGTTCCCCCAGAAGATCACCCCACTCCCGACCCTCCCAGGGGATGCAGGACATGACAAGCACCGCTGTCCACTGCCCCCTCACTGCATCAAGTGCCGAGCAAGCAGGGCTATCTCCTGGGGAACATCCCAGAGGTTCCAGAGGCGTCAGGCTTGTGTGAGTGTCTCTGCCAAGACTCTCCCGTGACTCGCCTCCGCAGAGGTTTCCTGAGCACAGACTCGGGGTCAGACCTTGGGCGTGGCCCTGGGATGGGAGATGGATGCATGACCCCTGCCCTCAGGTCACTGCCGTGGGGCCCTGCCCCATGAGGACTCAGCGGGCGGAACCCAGCCACTGGAAGGGAGAACCCCAGGTACTGGGCGCAGTCCGTCCAGCCGCAGAGTGGCCCGCCTCGGAAGGCTCTGGGGTGAGGGGCCCATCTCTGAGGGTGGCCGGCAGCCCGTGGACCTTCACTCGCCAGGGCTGAGAGGTGGGAAGAGCCATTCCTGCCCAGGAGGTCGGTGAGAGCCATCCCTTCAACAGGTTCTGCTGCTGGGAGTCCTTTTTTCTATATGCTTTTTTAAAGCCTGACATCCAAGAACAAAGCAGACGTTGGCAGCAAGTACCCTCTTGGGACTTCCCTGGTGGCCCAGTGGTTAAGAGTCTGCTTGCCAATCCATAGGACACAGGTTCAATCCCTAGACTGGAAAGAATGCACACGCCATGGGGCCACTAAGCTGGGGCACCACAACTGCCGAGCTGGAGCTCTAGGGCACATGCTCCACAAGAAGAGAAGCCCTCTCACCACGAGTGAAGAGGAGCCCCCGTCCCCTGCAAATAGAGCAAAGCTCGCACAGCGACAAAGACCCAGCACAGTCAAAAATAACTACATAAAACAAAAAGAAGCACCTTCTTGTTCCCCTGCATACATGACCCAAGGGATGGCAGAGGCATATGCTATGTGAGCATGCCTGGAAAGGCACGGAAACTGACATTTTACGGTGGCCCCAAAGGTGCCAACAATACGCTGGCAGGCTGGTGTGGAGGGTGATTGGCGTCCATCAACAGGGCTGTGTTTGGGCTGCGCTATCGACACCTGACATGTTTGTTGTAATTGGTTTCCCAGCCAGCCCTGCTGCCTTCCTTAATTGCACTCATTCCTTAACAAAAATGACACGCTGGTGGCAGCAATATGGGCTTGAAGGCGCGGGTGCCTTTTGATCTGACCCTAAAGTCGCGCTTGCGACCAGACGCTAAGACGGGGGCAGAGCCCACAGGTCATTTCTCTCCTGGGAGCATGGGGTCGAGCGGCCTGTTAGAACTGCTTGTGTAATTGTGCCACCTTGATACACTTAGTGACAGTTTTCCTGGGTCTGCAGGTCTAAACTCATGACGGACTTTAGAGAGACTTCGTCTGCAGACCTTTGGAAGCTTGAGTTTAATTCTGCAGAGGACGAGGAAAGCATGTTCAGAGAATGTCTGGAATTCGAACCGAATGCTCAGTGCATCACTAAAATGAGTGGGTAGAAGTTTGAGAAACAGAATATGTGTATGATTCCAAGTTACCTCCCTCAATGTGTATTCATTGCCGGGAGAGAAATAGTCACTTTATGGGGCAGACACCACCTTAACCAGGGAACGAAGGTTCACAGTGCCAGGAACAAGACCCAAGGAGCCCAGGAGGAGAATCGCTAAAGATCACCTCCCCTGAGAAATCCTTAACCCAAATCCAGAACTTTTGTCCAACCATGAGAGTGCATTGGACAAAACCAACTTGAGGGACTTGTTACAAAACCTAAGAACACTATTCTTTAAAAGGATCAAGGTCACACAACTTCTCTGGTAGTCCAGTGATTAAAAACCCACCT